ACCTATCAGGAGGGACCAGTCCTTGGAGAAGGATATCATGTGTGGTAAAGTGGAGGGTCGGAAAAAAAGAGGAAGACTCCTAACTAGATGGATTGGCACAGTGACAGCAGCAGTGTGCTCAAACATGGCAACGATTGTGAGGTTGGCACAGTCAGCTTGAGTTGGTATCAACTTGATGGCACCTAATAACAACAACAACAGCAATGATTTGTTTAATGTAAAACTAATGATGTGCTCTATAAACCTTCTCTGAACTCACAATAAAAAGTTACAAGAAAAGAAAATACAAGTGATTTACAAATGAAGGTACTTCCATTTAGTATGATATAATATGGGATTTTGATTTTAGTAAGAGCAATTTTCAACAATGGAAGCAACATAATTGTGCATGGGAAATTTCACAAAGAATGGAATAATTAGAGGAAAAGAAAGCTGAACAATAAAAAAGTAATTGCAACCTAAGTGTGCCACTGTAGGATAAAGCACTAGACCACAAGGTCGGTTTGAACCAACCACAAGGTCAATGGTTCAAACTCACCAGCTGCTCCTTGGAAACCCTGTACAGGATCACTATGAATTGGAACCAGCTCAGTGGCACTTAACAGCAACAACAACAAGATTTAAAAAAAACCACAGACACAAAAGTAGAAAATAATAGAAAAATAAAAGAATTAATGCACTACTTTGGAAAATATTGAGAATACCAAAGAAATGAATGACAGATACAGATTTTCATTTTAAAGTTTTCATCTTTCTTTTTTGAAGACATTAATTTTGAGTCTAACATTCCTAGGATGGGTAAAGGGATTTTTTGGAACAAATTGGTTAATATTTTTATATTTTTATTTTATAATTTTACTATTTGTCAGAAACCAGAAAAATGAGTGTTTTCATCTGACTTGAATTTGTAGGAAAAAGGGAAATGGTGTTTCTCAAATATTTAGATAGTAGTATCATATTGTGTATTCAATAAATAATTGTTAAAGTCTTTCTTGTCAACAGATTGTCACAAATGTAAGAAATACAATTCATGGATTCAAGAAGCTTCATGGGCGATCATTTGATGATCCTATTGTACAAACTGAAAGGGTAAAGCTTCCTTATGAACTACAGAAGATGCCTAATGGAAGTGCGGGAGTTAAGGTAAGTTTTATAGCTTTATATTCCCAAAATATAAATATATCTTCAAATAAAAAAATTAAATATAATTACATTAAATAGGCAAATAAAACTGTTAGCTACAAGTTTGGTAGTTCAAACCCGGAAACCCTATACAGGAACTGACTCAAAGGCACTTAATAAGAACAATAAAAATTTGTCATTTATACTTCATTATATTTTGCAAGAATTATTCACTTCAGAAGGATGACCTTTTACACTCTATGAACTAAATCTCAATAAAGTAATTATTATTTTTTTAATTAACATAATAATTTTAAACTTGATGTTTAACCGTGTTTCCCTGGTCCTTGTTAGGTGCCATTGTGTCAGTTCTGACTCATAGAGACCCTATATAAAACGGAATGAAACACTACCCAGTCCTGCTCCATTCTTATAATTATTACAATGTTTGCATCCAGTGTTACAGACTCTGTGTCAGTCCGTCTCACTAAAGTGCTTCATCTCTTTTGTTGATCTTCTCATTTCGAGTTGTATCATGTCAGCAAATAAATGTCTTCTAAGCTTTATGCCATCTACATCATTAAGGTGGCTCCTACTTTGAGGGGGCAACTCTTCCCAATTAGTATTTTGAATGCCTTCCAACATGAGGGAATCTTGATCATCTTACAGCTCTATACCAAACAATGTTCCACTGGTGTTCAAAAATGTTTTACTGGACAATACTTTTTAGAAATAGATTGCTAGTCATATCTTGTCTGGATGTTCTACTGAAACCTCTCCACCATGACCCTGGTGGTATGTGAATTATCAGTGGCATATAGATTCAGCATCAAAGCAGCCCACAAACCACCAATTATGACACGCTGCCAGCCATGTAGTGGCTCTTGCCCTTAACCTCAACAATCGGTAATTTATTTTTTGTCCGAGTTGTTTTGCTTATTATAGATTCCATATCATATTAAGGTCACATATTACATGATTCCATTTCGTGCAAAAAGGAATCATGTAGTGTGACCTATGTCTGGTTTCTTGAAACTCCCATTATATTGATGTACCACATTTTGTTTAACCATTCATCAGTTGATGGACATTTGCTTATACAAATGTATTCATTTTAGTGTTCTGAGTTATAGAAAAAGCATAGGGAACACACCATGAGAGGTTACAGATGAGACAAATTGTAAAGCCATATATTTTAGGTAAAATTTGTTAATCTAGGCTTGCTGATTGGGAAACTAGATGTGTTATGATAGCAGTATCCGAGATGAAAAATAAAAACACTCAGATATCCTTTAGATCTACCACTAGTCTGTGAGTTTGTCATGCTATGGTGGCTTGTGTGTTGCTGTAATGCTGGAAGGTATGTCATCAGTATTTCATATACCAGCAGGGTCACCCTTGGTAGACAGGCTTCAGCAGAGCTTCCAGACTAAGAAACTAGGAAGAAAGACCCTGGCAATCTGCTTCTGAAAATAAACCTATGAAAACCTTATGAATCACAACAGAACACTGATTTGCTTGCTTTGGACTTGTTATAAGGATGGATCCATCATTAAAAGAGGACATTTTGTTGGAGTAGAGGGCCAACAAGGGCATGGGAGACCTTTGGTGAGATGGATTGGCATAATACCCACAGCAATGGATTTAAGCATGCTAACAATTGTCGGGATGATGTAGGACCGGGCAACGCTTTGTTCTGTTGTGCATAAAGTCACTATGAGTTAAAATCAACGATAGTCCTGGCTACTGCTACCAACTGCTCTGAAAGTGATCACATTAGAGCATCCCAGATAGAGTGGGAGAAAATGTGGAATGAAACTGAAAATTAGTTAATCATTGTTTTAAAAGACCAGAAAGAGACTGGAGGAACCTGAGACTATGGCCCTTCGAGTCTGGAAAGAAACTCACCCTCGTGGCCCAGTTTTCACCAAGCAGTAGATAGGGTTATTGGGGGGGTGAGGGGGTGATGGCAACAACACTAGTAAGGTGTGCTCACCATGGAATGGTCAATTGTTCAAAAGCAAAAGGGCAACATTTCCTAAGAGCAAAGTGAAAAAGGGATGGGAGGAAGGTGGGTGGAATGCAAATTGTAATCATTGATATGAAATAAGGTGTATGCTTTGTTTAATGTAAAGCTGATGATGTTGTCTGTAAACCTTCACTCAATTTACAATAAAAAGTTTTTTTAAAAAAAACATTATGTTAAGGGGTGGGGAGATGAAATCCTTCACAACTTCAATATTTTCATTTTTCATAAAGTCTATCGGTTCCATTGGGAAGAATTTTGTTTTCTTTACATTGAGTTGTAATCCTTACTGAAGACTGTCTTTGATATTCAGCAATAAGTATTTTAAGTCTGCTTCACTTTCAGTAAGCAAGAATGAGTCATCACAGGTTATTAATGAGCCTTCCTTCAATCCTGATGCTGCATTTTTCTTCACATATATGTTGTTGTTATGTGCTGTGGAGTCGGTTCCAACTTATAGTGACCCTGTACAGGGTTTCCGAGGCTAGCAGATGTTTAATAGATATATATTTTCTGGATAAACAAATGACTTAATAAATATGTAATTTTGATTTTAGGTAAGATACCTAGAAGAAGAGAGACCTTTTGCAATTGAGCAAGTTACTGGAATGCTTTTGGCCAAGCTTAAAGAGACTTCGGAAAATGCTTTGAAGAAACCAGTGGCTGACTGTGTGATTTCAGTAAGTTTTATTTCAGTAATGAATACTCTTGAAGCATATTTTCCAGGGTTTTAATGTATTGAAATGTTTTTCTTCCTCTTTTTTATGTTTTCTGCAATAAATAACTTAAAAACATTTTTACTTTTTTAAAAAATACTATTTTATTTGGTAGTTTATAATTGAATTTTCCATAATATCTATTGTGATAATGAATTATCACAGCTTAATAATGTATATTCAGGTGTGGTGCTGTGGGATAATGCACTAGATCACAGGTTGGTTTGAACTGTAAGGTTGGCAGTTCAAATTCACCAGCTGCTCCTTGGAAGCCCTACTATACAGGGCCACTATGAGTCAGAACTGACTTGAAGGCACTTAACAACAGTAATGTATGTGATGAGTTAATGACTAATATACTTACTACTATCCCTAAGAATCTTTCCAGGTAGAACTTAACTTTCTACCTCTTGAGGACTTAATGTTGTATGGTGAAGGATGAAAAACTTCAGTTGGAAATTTACTTGTGTATTTTGTATGAGAGAGAAAAGTTTCTACTTTAAGAATTCTTAGCAAAATATTTATTTACTCAATATTATCAATAACAAACTTTGGTACAGTCACACAATGAGATACTGTGTAATGCTGAAGGATAACAATGAAATTATGAGACACCTCGCAACATGGATGAGCCTGGAGGATATTATGCTGAGTGAAATTAGTCTATCGCATAAGGACAAATACTGTATGAGACCAATGTTGTAAGGAGTCAAGAAAAGGTTTTCTTAATAAAAGAAGCAATTAGTGATGGTTAGGGGGTTGGGGAATTATTCATGAGTTTGAGAATAGACACATGTTAACAGGGATGACAGGGCAGGCAATATACAACAAGAGGGAGGTTAGCAGAGAAAAGATGAAGGTAGTGGGAGACACAGGGAGGAATGCCATAGTTCCAAGTAAATAGTGTTAACTGTTGATACATGGAAGGGATTACAATCATTGTAATGAAGCAGAGTATATAATTATCTGAATGTAAAACTGATGCTTTAGAAGAGGATATGAAACTAGGGATATCATTCCTGATATCAGATATATCTTGGCTGAAAGCATAGAGTACCAGAAAGGTATTTATTTGTGCTTTATTGACTATGCAAAAGTTTTTGACTTTGTGGATCATGACAAGCTATGGAAAATATTGCAAACAGTAGGTATTCCAGATACTTAATTGTCCTCATAAGGAATCTGTACATAGACCAAGAGACAAGAGGCACTCATTTGAACAGAAAAATGGAATGCTATAATGGTTTAATGCTATAATGGTATCATTTTTCTCCTGCAATGCATCTGGTAGGTTTGAACCACCAACCTTGCAGTTATCAAGTCAGTTGCTAAACATACAGTGCACCATGGCTTCTTGGATTTACTATTTTAGCCAATGTCATTTTAATAGACTTTGAGGTTTATAGTTTTTCATTATTAAAACAGTACAGCCAGAGTGCTCCCTGAGGGCCAGGATGGCCAGACTTTGTCTCTCATACTTCAGACATATTGTCAGGAGGGACCAGTCACTGGAGAAGGATATCATGTTTGGTAAGGTGGAGGGGTCAGAGAAAAAGAGGAAGACCCCCAATGAGATGGATTGGCCAAGTAGCAGCATCAATCGTAAGGTTGGCCCAGGACTGGCCAGTGTTTCACTCTGTTGTGCATAGGGTCGCAATGAGTCAGTACCAACTTGATGGCACCCAACAACAACAACAACATAATGGTTTAAAATCAAGAAAGGTGTGCACCAGGGTTGTATTCATTCACCATACTTAGTTAATCTATATGACGAGTAAATTATCCTGGAAACTGGATTATATGAAGAAGAATGTGGCATCAGGTTTGCGGAAAGACTCATTAGCCACCTGTGTTATGCAGATGGTACAACCTTCCTTGCTGGAAGTGAAAGGACTTAAAATGGTGATGAAGATCAAAGACCACAGCCTTCATTTAGGATTGTATCTCAACATAAAGGAAACAAAAATCATCACAACTAGACTAAGAAATCTTAACATCACAATAAATGGAGAAAAGATTGATGTCAAAGATTTCATTTTGCTTGGATTCATAATCAATCATTCATGAAAGCAGCAGTTAAGAAATCAAATGGCATACTTCATTGGGAAAATATGCTGCAAAAGGCCTCTTTAATATATTCAAGAGCAAAGATGCCACTTTGAAGACTAAGGTGTGTATGGCCCAAGCCATGGTATATTTGGTCACCTCATATGTATGGGAAAGCTGGACAGTGAATTAGGAAGTCAAAAGAAGAATTGATACCTTTGCATAATGGTGTTGGTGAACAATATTGAATATGCTGGAAAAAAACAAATTACTCTTGTTTTCTCATTGTTTACGTTGTTAAGTGCTATCAAGTTAGTTCAACCAAGTCATAGCGACCCTGTATAGGGTTTCCAAGAAGCAACTGGTGAGCTTGAACCGTCGACCTTGTAGTTCAATTCAACCTTGCACTCTAGCACATCAACCCACAGTGCCACACCATCATTACATACATAATGAAATTATACAAAATCAAATGATACAAAAATGAAATACTTTTTTAAAATGTCATTAAAATGATATTCCTTGAAAAATCAGTTCTACTTAATACTTTCTTTCAATACTTAGGATTCTTTATATGGATATAAACTCCAAAAAAACTCACTGTCATCAAATCAATTCTGACTCATAGTGACCCTAGATTATAAATCATTATGGGAGCAGAAAGCCTCATGTTTCTCCTGCAGTGCACCTGGTGGGTTTGAATCACTATCCTTGCACTCAGCAAGTCAGTACTTATCATACAGTGTACCACGGCTTCTTGGATTTACTCTATTTAGTCAATCTCATTTTAATAGACTTTGAGGTTAACAGTTTTTCATTATTAAAAATGAACATGAATGTTTTTTAATATACCAGATCAACACAAGAAGGGTTTAAATTAGCAGACTTTGGAAATCTTCTATATTACTTCATATTATTATTTACTCAAAATTAGTGTTATACTTTCAGATGAAACCTTATGGTATAGAAATTATCAAACTTTAAAAATAAACATAGTACTGTGTAGGTTCTCAGCAACAATAAAATAACTTTTAAAAATAAAAAAGTAAAGCTAGTATTTTTCCTCATTTAAAATTAGAGCACCGTTTCTGTGCTCTAATTAATGTAAGTTTTTTATGTACTTATTTGACTTTTTTTTAACTGATGATATGTTGAAGAGAAATGTATTACATATAATGTTTTCAAATGCCAGATACCTAGCTTTTTCACTGATGCTGAGAGAAGATCTGTGTTGGCTGCAGCCCAGGTTGCAGGCTTAAATTGTTTAAGGCTGATGAATGAAACTACTGCAGGTAAGCATTTTGCAATTTTGAAAGTCACTGTTTTTGTGTGTGTTTGACTGGTTCATTAATCCAAAACCTTTATTTTTAACTCTACTATGTGTGTATTCTTCCAAGTTTTTCATTTAATAGTTCGCGATTTTGGCAGAGATTAAACATGTCCTGTTTGCTATGCTGTTAGTTGCTGGTGAATCTATTCCAAATCAAGATGACCCCGTGTATGTAGAGTAGAATTGCACCATAGAGTTTTTAAGGTTGTGACCTTTAGGATCATATTGTTGTTATTAATTAAGTACTATCAAGTCAGTTCTAACCTATAAAGGGTTTATGAGAAGCAGCTGGTAGGTTTGAACCTCTGACCTTTTGATTAGCAGACTAGTTGTTGTTTGTTGTTGTCAGGTGCCATTGAGTTGGTACTGACTCATAGCGACCTTATGCACAGCAGAACGAAACAATGTCCGATCCTGGGCCAACCTCACTACTGCTGCCACACTTGACGCCATCAATGATGCTACCTGGCCAATCCATCTCGTTGGGGGTCTTCCTCTTTTTCTCTGACCCTCCACCTTACCCAGCATGACATCCTTCTCCAACGATTGTTTCCTCCGGACAATATGTCCAAAGTAGGAGAGACGAAGCTTAGCCATCCTGGCCTCCAAGGAGCACTCTGGCTGCACTTCTTCCAAAACAGATCTATTGGTTCTTTTGGCAGTCCATGGCACTTTCAGTATTCTCCAACACCATAACTCAAAGGCATCAATTCTTCTACGGTTTTCCTTATTCACTGTCCAGCTTTCACATGCATATGAGGTGCTCATCCTATATGAATGCCACACCAGGACTCCTAGGATCATGTTAGTGGAGCACTTAATGAATTGTGCCATCAAGTGCTTCTATTTGCAACAAAATGGTTAGTTTATAGAATTCTAGATTAATATTATAGAATTATAGATGACTAGCCCACAAGGTCAACAGTTTGAAACTACCAGCTGTTCCATGGGAGAAAGATGAGGCTCTCTGTTCCTGTAAAGATTTACAGCCTCGGAAACCCTGTATAGGGTTGCTATGAGTCGGAACCGACTCCATGGCACTTAACAACAAAAACAGTGGAAGAAAAAGGAGCTCTGGTAGCATAGTGGTTACAAATCGTGCTGCGAACTGCAAGGTCAGCAGTTCGAAACTACCACCAGCTGTTCTGCATGAGAAAGATGAGGCTTTCTGCTCCTGTAAAGATTTACTGCCTTGTACAGGGTTGCTAGGAGTCAGAACTGACTCCACGGCACATAACCACCAACCAATGGAAGAAAGGAGTCCTGGTGTGGTGCTGTGGTTAATGCACTAGACTGCATGGTCAGTTTGAACTGCAAGGTTGGTGATTCAAGCTCACCAGCCGCTCCTTGGAAACCCTATACATGGTCGCTGTGAATCAGAACTAACTCGATGGCACTTAACAACAACAACAAATGGGAGAAAGACGTGGAAGTCTGCTCCTGTAAAGATTTAGTGTTTTGGAAAAATGTACAAGGCTGGTCTACTCTGCCCTAAAGGTCCACTATGAATCGGAATCAACTCAGCAGGAACGGGTTTTTCATTGAGATGGTTAGGGGGAAAACTAAAACTAAAACATTCACCAAATTAGAAAAATTAATTACTTTGAAACTAATAATTAACAATTTGTATTACTGCATTGTGTATTATTAAAGTGCAGTAGCAAAATGACTTATCTCAGACTTGTTTTCCAAGTAATGCTGTTAAAATTAACCTCTTTGTTCTTACACAGTTGCACTAGCTTATGGAATTTACAAACAAGACCTTCCCCCATTGGATGAAAAACCGAGAAATGTAGTATTCATTGATATGGGACATTCTGCTTACCAGGTCTCAGTTTGTGCTTTTAACAAAGGAAAACTTAAGGTAAGTAAATAACTGGTTTATTATATTTAACTATAATTTTTTTTACAGGATTATCTTAATTCATAGTAAAAAATTACACTGTTTATTTGTAGATGGGCATCATAAATTTCAGCTTAGTCCATTTGCAGCTGTATAGTTATATAATGATTATTTTGATATTAGAAGTTGTTGTTGTTGTTATGTGCCGTGGAGTCGGTTCCGACCCATAGCGACCCTGTACAGGGTTTCAGAGGCTGTAAATCTTTACGGGAGCAAAACACCTCATCTTTCTCCCGCAGAGCAGCTAGTAGTTTCGAACTGCTGACCTTGCGGTTCGCAGCTCGATTTGTAACAACTACGCTACCAGAGCTCCTTGATATTAGAAGTAATTATGCAAATACAACTTGTATTTGGTTAATTGGGTTTCCATTTGCAAATAAAACATTATTGTGTTTCTTTCATGAGAAACAAACATAGTTTATTTGGTTTTTCAATTTAAAAAATGAGCAGATGGAATCATACACATTTTTTTTCATTGCAAATACCTTTTTTTTTAATTAAGAAATTTTTTTAAACGTTTTTATTGTGAATTATGGGAGAGAGTCTGTGTGTTGACGGTCAGGAGGCAGGTTTGTGGGGTGTACCCTTTGGTTGTTTGATGATGCATGCAGGGAATTGTAATCTTGTAATTAAATGAACAAGTTAGGATGAATGTAAAGTTAATGATCTCCCATGTAAATTAATTATAATTTTTAATTGCATGGACTATATGTTATTATATTCTGATTCATGGCAAGCTATGTACAACTGAATAAAACACTGCCAAGTCTTCACAATCCTCACAATCGCCAGTATGTTCTAGTCCATCTTTGCCGTTTTTATGACAATCCATTTCACTGAAGATATCCCATGCCCTTTTTGGCCTCTACTTCCACAAACATGTTGTCCTCTTCCAATGATTGATCCCTCCTAATAACATGGCCAAAGCAGCCAAGTCAAACAGTGTTCTGTTGTGATCCAGAAGTTTTTATTGGCTAACTTTTAAAAGTAGATCTATCACACCTTTCTTTCTTCTCTGGAAGCTCTGCTGAAGCCTTTCCACAATGGTTGACATTGCTGGTAGTTGAAATATTAGTGGAATCGTTTACAGCATTATCCCCTACATCTGCCACTGAGTCTGTTCTGACTTAGAGCAACCCTGGGACAACACACTATCCCCTACAGTACTAAAGACTGACAGACATGACAGATAGACTGTATCACCAAACCAACCTCATTGCCGTCAAGTAGATTTGGAGTCATACAGTCAGAACACTGTAAGACAGAGAACTGCCCCCATAGAATTGTGAAAACTGTAATTTTGCAGAAGCAAGCTACCACATCTTTCTGGATGGAGCAGCTGGTGGGTTCAAATGGCTGACCTTTTGATTAGCAGCTATGCCTTGAACTATTGTGCCATCTGGGCTCATATACAGGAGCTCCTATACAGACTATATAGAGAACTCAATGTCTGGGTAGGAAAAGTGGTGGCACAATGATTTAAGTGCTCAGCTGCTTATTGAGGGTCAACAAAAGGTCATTAGTTCAAATCTACCAGTGCATTCTTCAGCAGAAAGATAGGCAGTTCTGCTTCCATAGAGATTTCAGCCTTGTAAGTCCTATGAGACAGTTCTACTCTGTCCTGTATTAGTGCTATGGGTCTAAATCAAGTCTGTGGCAACAGGTTTTAATGCCCGAGTTTGAACCCTGGCTCTGCCCTCTCAAAACTGTGACATTTAAAAGTTACTGAAATTTTCATTTCCTCATCTGAAGATAGTATCTGTAACTACTTCATAGAATTTTTTTAGAATAAAATGAGTTAGTGTATTAAAAATGTTTGGAATACTGGGATCATACATAGTAGATCATATGGCAGCAATGAGGGGGCATAAATTATTTAGCCATAAGGTCCTTAAAGTAAAGATTTTCTAATACGTTTCTACTATGTGGTATTATAGTACTTAAAAACAACAACATGTGATATTATTTACTTCTATATGCTTATTTGTATTTGGTTTTATAGTCATTTTTACACTGATTATCTTATCCAGACTTACTCCATTTTGTTCAAGAATGGGGAGGATTTACTTACAGGATCTTTTTGTTTCTTCTGTGTTTTTTAGGAAAATAGGCTGACTTAAAAAAAAAAAGCTAGAAAGCTTAATTCCTGATTTGTAATTGATCTGTAATGTGTCAGATGTAATCTCTGGATGTGTTTTTCTTGAATGCTTTGTTCTTGTTTCTATGGTTAAGACTTTCTTTGCTCTCTGAACTTCAGTTTTCAATCTGTCTGCTCAGTGCTATTCTAAAACCAGAACATGCAAAATAATGAGGTTTTAGTTATTATAGATCAATTATTTCAGTTTTAGAAATATTCTTTAATTATAATATATGATCTGTGATGATGAAGCATATAATTCAGAGTGTAGAAATATGTTGGATAAATATAAATGATTACATCTAATTCTAAATTTGGCATCCAGTGTCTTGACAAGTTCTTTGGCTTCATTGTATTATACTTTTATAGGTTTCTTTTCTTTCTTTCTCTTTGAAAGCATCTGTATTTATGAAAATTCAGTTCTGTTTTTTCAATTAATAGGTCTTGGCTACTACCTTTGATCCATATTTGGGTGGCAGGAACTTTGATGAGGCTTTAGTAGACTACTTCTGTGATGAGTTCAAGACCAAGTATAAGATAAACGTGAAAGAAAACTCTCGAGCCTTGTTGCGCTTATATCAGGAATGTGAGAAACTAAAGAAGCTAATGAGTGCAAATGCATCAGATCTTCCATTGAACATCGAATGTTTCATGAATGACCTTGATGTTTCTAGTAAAATGAACAGGTACAATGTATGTTTTCAGTTTGAGAAGTGTTTGATTATTTTATAATATTTCTATTATGTCTTAATTTATTTCATTCATTATTTTAGAAGGTAAGCTGAATTTTTAACCCAGCATAATGAATTTTATTTATCCCACAGAGCTCATTTTGAACAATTATGTGCTTCCCTCTTGGTCAGAATTGAGCCTCCTTTAAAAGCAGTAATGGAGCAAGCAAGTAAGTAGAAATTACTGGGTTAACCATCAAAACTGTACTATGGTGTTACTCACTTCACTGAAAAATATAGAAGATTCTAAGATGAAAGTAAAGTAGAAATGGGAACATGACTGTTTTTTGTCAAGGATTTTGTAATCGAGAGTATCTTCTATGGGAATCTATAAGGCAGAAGTGCTTTTTCTGGATTGTGACTCTCAGGAGTTCCTTGAAAGCCCATGATATATTTTGTCCAAATAGTCACTCCATCATGGGAACCAATAGTAAGTAGTGTCTGTCACATAGATCATTATTATTATTTACTAAATTTGCCTTTTTCCAAACTTTGCATCTTTTTTACATTTTCTTTTCTTCTGAACAATTAAAAAGTTGATCCACCTTAACCTGAAGGACATTATGCTGAGTGAAATTAGTCAATCAACAAAGAGACAAATATTGTATGATACCACTATTATAAAAAGTAAAAATATTTTTCACTGTAAAAGAAACATTCTTTGATGGTTAACAGGAGTAGGAGAGAAGGAGGAGTGATTCACTGGTTAGAGGATTGTTGTTAAGTGCTGTTGAGCTGGTTCCAACTCATAGTGACCCTGTATAAGGTTTCCAAGGAGCATCTGGTGAGTTTGAACTGCCCACCTTGCAGTTCAAACTGACTTTGCTTTCTAGTGCTTATCCTACAGTGCCCCACATGTTAATTTGGGTGATGGATAGGCAATACAACAAGAGGAGGTTAGCATAAGGATAATAAAGATGGGAAAACAATAGGAGAAGTACAAATGTTAAAGACAACAGAAGTAAGTAATGTTATATGCACAATCCTGCCTTAACAGTGTTGTTTGAGTTGTTGTTGTTAAGCGTTGTTGAGTAGGTTCTGACTCAAAGGAACCCTAGATAGGGTTTCCAAGGAGTGGCTGATGCATTTGAACTGCCAACCTTGTGATTCAGTGCTTATCCTACAGCACCACACCAGGACTCTTGTTGTATGGGTAGACATATGAACAGATACGCAGGCTAACAGGTGTGGGAGGGATAGTGGGAGTAAACTCACATATATATAGTTTTGACAGAGGATAGTTGTACATGAGTGTTTACCTTTGCTGCTAACATATTCTTGAGTGTAGCGAAGTATGTTGTTGTTATGTGCCATGGAGTCGGTTCCGACTCATAGTGACCCTATACAGGGTTTCTGAGGCTGTAAATCTTTATGGGAGCAGAAAGCCTCATCTTTCTCCTGCGGAACAGCTGGTAATTTCGAACTGCTGACCTTGCAGCTTGCAGCCCGATTCGTAACCACTATGCTACCAGAGCTCCTTGTAGTGAAGTATACAGGGGTAAAATTATGAAAACTTAGACATTACCAAACACTTTGAGGGAATGAGTTACTGGGCTTTGGCCAGTGATACCATGGTCAATTGGTATAACATAGTCCACAAAGACAATATTCTACATCCTACTTTGGTAAGTAGTGATTGGGACCTCAAAAGCTTATGAATGGCCATATAAGGTACAACTATTGGTCTTTACCTGTCTGGAGGAAAGAAGAATGATCAAAATTGAAAGATGCTTGGAAACTGTTAATCCATTGGACTAATGGACCACATGAGTGTCAGTATCCACAACCCTGAGACCAGAAAAACTAGATGGTGCCCAGCTACAACTACCAACTGTTCTGAAAGGGAACACATTATAAAGTCTTAGATAGAGGGAGAAAGTGTAGAATAGAACTTAAAATCATAAATAAAACCAGGCTTTCTGGTGGAACCCCAAGACTATATGATCCTTGGTCACCCTTTTGGAACTCACCTCTGTGACTCAATTTTAAACCAAGCAATAGATAGGTATATAGGGAGGACAGCAACACTAGTGAGGTATGCATATCATGGAATGACCAACCATTTGTGATCAAAGGGCAGCATTTACCTAAGGACAAAATTCATAAGGGTTAGGAAAGAAGGAGAAATGGAAATAAGAAACACAGGAGAAAATGGGATAAGCAGTGTTACATTACAGTTATTTAGATGAAACAAAGTGTATGGTTTATTGAATGTAAAGCTGATGATATGCTTTGTAAACCTTCACTCAATTCATAATAAAAAGTTTTCAAATAAATTGATCTTTTTAAAAATTTTGAGTGAAAGTCTACAGAGCAAATTGATTTTCTTGTTCAGCAAAGCTAACAAAAAATAAGGGGGTGATCAGCACAATATCACTAAAGAAAAGGGACTCAGAGACAAGCACAAGCATTACAGATGACAAAGATAAATACTACTATGTACATAATCCTACAGCAGCCAACCTTTTCAATAAGTGCTTTCTAAAGCTTACTGTTCATACTTTAATAAGGACTACTTATTTTCCTCAATTTTAAATATCTTTCTTTTCTAGATTTACAACGTGAAGATGTAAGTAATATAGAAATTGTGGGAGGAGCAACTCGAATTCCTGCAGTAAAGGAACAAATAACTAAATTCTTTCTTAAAGACATAAGTACTACGTTAAATGCTGATGAAGCTGTTGCAAGAGGATGTGCATTACAGGTATGATTGTTAACCTTGCTTGTAGAATGTTTATTTTGCCAAAAAAAAGAGCAGTAGATCTACTGCAAAAACTAAACCAAAACCACTGCTGTCAAGTCAATTCCAACTCATTGGGACCTTTTAATATTACCTGTTTCAGCCACCTAATGAGTAGGCTAAATAGAATAAATTGAAATTATTTCTGATAAATACGTGTTATGTCTTTCCTGTTTATATTTTTAAGCTATAATAGGACCATATATTTGTAACTGAACTAAAGAACATTTATTCTATGAATTTTTATAATTATTCCCATTTAAAATTCATTTTTGAGACTTAAAAATATTCTATTATTATTATGATTATTATTATGTTACCAAAGAGTGTTATGAAAGAACAATAGTTTTTTAATTTAACAATTTAGCCTAAGGACTTCATTAACATTTAAATTAGGATATGGTTTGTGTTTGTTGATTTAAATATAATATACATCTTATTTTCAGTGTGCAATACTTTCTCCAGCATTTAAAGTACGTGAATTTTCCATAACAGACCTTATTCCTTACTCAATCACGTTAAGGTGGAAGACCTCTTTGGAAGATGGAACTGGGTAAGTTACCTTTAAAGCCTTGGCTGAAGCTTGTCATAAATATTAAACCAATTGAACCTACTTTTCTAAATTAAGAGAATTTACACTTCTTCTTACAATTCTCAAAAACAGTGTTGTTGTTGTTGTTTTTGACTGAGGATATAGAAATGATATGTAATATGGTGTAAACTATGATGAGCATTTTTTCAGTTACTATTTTATCATAAAATAAAAATGCTCATTTTAAAATGAAAAGACAGAAATATACAAACTTTAAGACCTACATTTTCTATATTTTGTCTCCCTTAGTTATGTGTATCTGTCCCATCATTTTCTTTGAATATCCAAAATTTAATACAAGTGTGTACTTTTTAAATACATGTAAGATCATCTGTATATTCAGTACACCTTTACTTTTTATTGTGTATTGTGTATATTCTTCCCATGTCAGCAGTTGTATGTATTGTCATTTAACCAATACACTATTCAGTTATAATTTTGCTATTTCAATCAATGCTATTAGGATTATCCTTGTAAACAGCTTCTGGTTTGTTTCTGTCAGTGCAGCTGTAAAGTAATTGAGCCAAAGAATCAGCTTTTTTTTCTTTTTTTTTTAAGTAATGTTGCCAAATTATTTACTAAAATATTATATTTCTGTTAGTATTATATGCAATTACCTGTTTTAGTTCATCTTTTATACTTTTAAATTTAGCAGTATGGTAATAAAAGTTAGACTTTGTTATTTATATTTCCAAATATTTTGAGATAAAATCTTTTCATGTTTTATTGAAATTTTCATTTCTTTTTACATGAACTACTCCAAGTTTACTTTAAGTAGCTTGTTTTCCTACCAAAATAAAAAATTTATGTCTCAAGTATTTGCCTACTTTTCAAAAGCATGGTTTGTACAATGAAGTAAAACTTAGTTCTTTAAGCTGTTTGTAAAATATTGTTCTGTGTTCTTAAAAAAAATTGAATTTTTGCACAGATTACAAAAATATGGATTATCAATTTGAGCTAACATCATGCAGAGCATTTAAATGGCACATTTTTATGGCAGTCTTGAGACATGAAGTATTATTTTTTAAGTTTAAATTCAGTTAGAGGTAGAAGAGACCCAGAAAATAATTATATGAAATAATATTGGAAGCCAAATTGAAAAGTAAAGTATATTACAATGACTGCAGTGAGAAAGTAGAAGGTATTGGTAGGTTCTTGAAAACTAGGATAGAGGAGGAAAAGGTTAGTGAATGTGAGATTTTCAAGCCTTGCATAATTAATGTGCTGTGATGATATACTGAAATCATTTCTAGGCCACTATACCCTATAGTATGGAGCTCTGGTAGCGTAGTGGTTATGAATCAGGCTGCGAACTGCAAGATCAACAGTTCGAAGCTACCAGCTGTTCTTCAGGAGAAAGATGAGGCTTTCTGCTCCCGTAAAGATTTACAGCCTCAGAAACCCTGTACAGGGTCACTATGAGTCGGAACCGACTCCACGGCACATAACAACAACAACATACCCTATAGTAGAGTCCTGGTGTGGCATTGTGGGTTAATGTGCTGAAATGCAAAGTTGTTTGAACCACAAGGTCGGTGGTTCAAGCTCAATAGCCACTCCTCGGAAACCCTAAGGTTGCTATGGGTCAGAACTGACTGTCAACTTTCACAAGCATATGAGGTGAATGAAAACACTATTTAACAGTTCTACCCTGCAAACATGTTACTATGAGGAGGAATCAAGCTGACAGCAATGAACAACTATTATAAGTAGTGTATATCCTATACTATATACTCGATAGCACTTAACAACTACAATAACAGTACAGTGATCAAATCCATAAGTTTATATTCATACTTACTTTTACAGTTCATATTCTAGCTTTTTATAGAATTTTCTTCTCTCCAGTACAGGGAATTTAAAAACCTACATAGAAATTCTTATCCCTTAAACATTATAACAGAGTTTATTACTACTATAGCTTATGTTGGTAAGTGGTGTCACATTAGTTCCAACCCATAGCAACCCTTATACGATTTCCTAGGAGCAGCTGGTGAACTTGATCTGCCGACTTTGCGGTTCACACCAACATTGCAGTCCAGCGTATTAACCCACAGTGCCACACTAGGACTCCAGTGTACTGTTATAAAATATCCTTATTACAAAATATACAGTATTTGTGAATTGTTAGTTGTTGTCAACTCAATTCTTACTCATGGTAACACCATGTTTGCGGAGTAGACTGTTTCATAGTGTTTTCAATCACCTCATATGCTTGTTGAAAGTTGGACAGTGAATAAGGAAGACTACAGAAGAATCAATGCATTTGAGTTATGCTGTTTGAGAAAAATGTTGAAAGTACCATGGACTCTCAGAAAAACAAACAAATCTTTCTTGAAAGAATGAAGTGGAGCCAGAATGCTCCCTAGAAGCCATGATGATGAGACATTGTATCTCATACTTTGGACATGTTATCAAGAGGAACCAGTCCCTGGTGAAGGATATCATGATTGGTAAAATGGAAGGTCAGCAAAAAAGAGGAAGATCCCCCAACCAGATGCATGGCACAGTGGTAGAAGCAATGGGTTCAAGTGTAACAGTGATTGCAAGGTTGGTGCAGAACCTAGCAGTGTTTTGTTCTGCTGTGCATAGGTCATTATAAGTTGGAACTGACTCAACGGCACTTGAAAACAACAAACATATCCCTGGTAGTAGAGTGGATTACAAGCTGAGCTGCTGACCATAAGGTCAGCCGTAGAGTCTACCAGTTGCTCCAAGGTGAAAAGATTAGACTTTATGTTCCCATAACACCTCAGAACCAAACTCTTTTTAGTTGTATTAAATTGGTGTGGTGCTGTAGGATAAATACTGGACTGCTAACTAAAAGGTCAGCGGTTCAAATTCACCAACCTATACAGGGTCACAAGGAGTCAGGACTGACTTGACCACAGTTAACAACAGTAATAATAATCTGAAATCTCTGAGGCATCAGTCTAGGAAACATTTATTCTTTATATTTGTGCATAAACGTTTGGTAATTGCTGCTTTACAAGTTAATAATAAGATGGATGCTGTAATTAATTCATAGACAACTTTTTATTTTCCCACTTCATTTTAGGGAATGTGAAGTATTCTGTAAGAACCATCCTGCCCCATTCTCAAAAGTCATCACTTTCCACAAGAAGGAACCATTTGAACTAGAAGCATTTTATACTAATTCACATGAAGTGCCTTATCCTGATCCAAGAATTGGTGAGAAAACTAAAAAAAATCTATAAGGGGACTTCAAAATGTAGAAAAATGGAATTAGAAGATACAGGATTTTTTTTGTGGAATTTTTGAAGACTCCTTATACTTTCTATAAACACAAACTTTAAAAAATATTTATTAAAACTGGAATCAAGGAAACAAGTAAATTGACATCTCAGCCATGTTAATACTGATTGGGTTTTTTAATGTTTTCCTCTAAACTTGCATTTAGTGTTCAAAGTTTATTTTTAATTCATTCTGAGTTCTACTTATAAAATGCTATTTGATTGTCCTGAAAGATTTGTGTGATGGTTACTTTTTAAGGAAAAACTCTCTAGTCAGTAAATTGAAATTATGGTGCAAGAGTCATATTATTTATTCTGATTCTAAACATTCACTGTTTACAAACTAGAATGAGTATCTTTTAATTAAAATGAAAAAATAATCACTTTAGAAGAAACAAAGTATGATTTCATAATATTAAAAAGGGATAATTTTTAAGTTTTAAATTTTTCTATATATACCTGCTTTATCTATATATGTATGTATGTATTTAAGTTTTTATTGTGGATTGAGTGAAAGTTTACAGAGCAAATCATCAGTTTTACATTCAACAAATCATACACCTTGTTTCATTACCATGATTACAATCCCGTCCATGTACCATCAGTTAATAGTATTTTTATTTACTATTAATAGTATTTACAGTTAATAGTATTTACAGTTAATTCTACTTACAGTTAATAGTATTTCTATTCTATTTACTTTTTTTTTTGAACACTTACACATATATAATAATTTACACCAACAAAGGGCAAGTCTGCCTCCTGGCCACTATCTCTTAGTCCCTTTCTTTCCATGAATCTAGAGTCTTCAGTCCTCTTGTCCTCAGTCCTCTCTCCATGTCCCCATCTCTGCCTCCATCTCTGGTGTTGCTGCTTCTCTAGATAAGGTCCCGCTTTCTGCTTATGCTCTTCTCCCTTGATGGTCCTAGGGTCCTTTGTTTCTGGACTGTAAGATTAATTTGTCCCCCATTTTTGTTATACTTTTACAATTCTGACAGTCACAATTAGTCATGATAACAATTACTCACTATTGAATAAACAGAATCTTATCCCCATCTCTTTTAATCAGACCCATCTAGACAAGATGAAAACTATTCAGTGGGGACTCTTCCTTCTCTCATACACTATTAAACCAAACTCCCACTTGAAACCTTTTAAGCCAGTCACTTCATGCCTTTATCGCCTCCTCATTTTAGGTAGCCAATGTCTGAGTTGCCCATCCCCATGTACCCTGTGTACAGAGAGGATAGCATTGATACTTGATGTGAAGATGCCTTCACTCTCTGTTGGTATTTGGGTTACTACCTCCAAGTTCATCAAATTTTAGCAATTTCCTTTATCAAAAATGGTTTTGTTCTCTTTTTTTTTTTGTAATCTTCCACTAGTCAAGTTCTGATTATCAAGCCATCAAGGCTAGGTCAAATGGATACAATCTGCAACTTTGGGTGCTCTTGTACCTCTCCCCTCAATTCATATCAGCTGGATGCTTCCCTCTCAGCTCTAACCATCTGTGGTTATGTCCTTGTCCTTGGGCTCAGGAGTTCCCAGGTCTCACCACACTTTGGACCAACCAGCCCTTCTCTCATCTCCAGGTCAACGGGAGCCTGTGAAACGTGATTGAACTCAGCCCATTTCTTCATTTCTGTCTTTGCCCATCTTCCACTCACCAGTAGACCAATGTGGTCATCAGCAAGCTTACATGCCTACTCATGTGTTCCCTTTGAATTTAAGTCTTAGAGGGGGTGGGTTTAGACTCAAGGGACTTGATTTCTAGCCTTGATGGCTTCCTGGCAAACAGCTTGCTTATTCTTATAGTAGCTAGTCATACTGCCATTTTTGTTTTGGTTTTTTTCTGATAATCTTTCTTTGAAGATGTATCTATGTGTCTTCTGTTGCTCTAGCTGTTCCAGGTTGGTCTGCTAGTCCTTTCTAGTGGGAATGTCCAACTTCAGAAGGTTCTGGATGGGGCTCAGGATTCCACCTAAGGTCCTATACACTGCAAAGTCTCCACAGGAGGCTTATTTCACTGGGCAAGTTCTAGAACCCCTTTAAGGTATTCCAGTCAGTTATAGTCTGAAGACGGGCTTACAAGCTTTCTGTAATCTTGTTTCCTGACATTCCTTTGTATCCAACTCTAGTGTCTATTTTACAATAGTAGGCAAGGAAAACCAATATTTATAAGACAGTCAAGCATCTTAGTATTATTTTCCCTCTTCAAACTATGCTTTGATCCCTGTATCACAGAGCTCTGTTGTTCCAAAGTTGAGCATGCATCACCATTTACCTCTATCCCATTTAGACCATGCAAACTTGTCTCAGTGTTCCCCTATCTGCCTTGATCTTCTACCCTCTCCCCCTTCTTGTGTACTGCTTTCCCCAGTACCCACACTATGATGTTTCTGTCCCTATCCTGTGTTCTACCATCGTCTCTCTTCACCTTCCCCCAAACCCCCCCCCCACTCCAACCCCAACAGTAACCAACAAAGACATTTTTTTGTTTTGTTTTTCATTTTAGTATGGGTATCTTTTCTTAAGCTTTTACAATAATAGTTTATGCAATATTTGTCCTTTTGTGACTGACTAATTTTACTCAGCATAATGTCCTCAAGGTTCATCCATGTTATGTGGTGGCTTGCAGCTTCCTTGTTATTCTTCAAGGTAACATGATATTCCATTGTGTGTATGTACCAAAGTTTGTTTATCCATTCTTCCACTGATGAGCACTTAGGTTGTCTCCATCTTTTTGCTATTGTGAATAGTGCTGCTATGAACTTTGGTGTGCATATAGCTACTCATGTTATGGCTCATATTTCTTGCGGATATATACCAAGTAGAGGAATTGCTGGATCACATGTATTTCTATTCCCAACTTTCTGAGGAAGCGCTATACTGTTTTCCAGACTGATTGGACCATTTTGCATTCCCACAAGCAACGTGGGAGGGTCCCAGTCTCTCCACGTCCTCGCCAGCATTTATTGTTCTCTACTTTTTTTTTAACTTTGCAGTTATTGCTGATATGAGATGATATCTCGTTGTTGTTTTGATTTGCATCTCTCTAATGTCTAATGACTTGATGGCACCTAACAACAACTACAACAATGTCTAATGATCTTCATATGTTTGTTGGCTGCCTAAATGTCTTTTTTGGTGAAGTGTCTATTCATGTCCTGTGCCCATTTTTAAATTTGGTTTACTTGTCTTTTTCTTCTAGAGGTGTTGCATATATACTGCTTTATTAACAGATTAAAAAGGAGACAATAGTAATATTTCAAGGACAGTATTTAAAGCAGTAGAGATAAATTGTTGAATGTTAACCAGATTTCTTACTACAGTTTTTCAGCTTAGTAGTTCTCATTATACTATGGATATTCCTATGTATTTAAGATTCCATAAAGAAATAAAATATTAGTTGATTTCATAAAGAAAAGTAGATATGATATGGATAGGTATTAGTGACTGGTTAACGGAACAGTTTTGCTAGAGAAGAATAGAGAAAAAATTTTAAATTGCTTTCCTTTTCACCAAGATGATTATGATAATATTTGGAAGATATCAGTTAAAATATAATATCTGTTTGTTTTTCATACAGAAAGTGAATTTTTTATTCTGGTTTTCAAGTAGCAATATTATAAAATTCTTAAAAGTTATATTTCCCTTAAGTCAGATTATTCTTGGTTAAAATCTCAACTTTTTTATCCCTTAGCATTGATGATTTGGGACAGGTTACTTAACTTTTCTGAGTCTCAATATAAGAGTTGCTAAGGTATTAAAAAAAAATTCTGAGGGAATTGCCTAGCCCAGGATGTGGTCATAAGTTTATGATTATTTTTCTGGTGTCTGAAGTATGATAGTGAAATTATTGAATGAATGAATTGAATCAGTCTCAGGCTTATGTACTAATTAAAGCTCTTTTTTCTTAAGGGAGCTTCACTATTCAGAATGTTTTTCCACAGTCTGATGGTGATAGTTCCAAAGTGAAGGTAAAAGTTCGCGTTAATATTCATGGAATCTTCAGTGTGGCTAGTGCATCAGTAATTGAAAAGCAAAATTTGGAAGGTGATCACAGTGATGCTCCAATGGAGACAGAAGCGTCATTTAAGAATGAATGCAAAGATGATGTGGTATGTAAAGATTCTATTTCAAGACTTTTAAATAAGCTACCATTAAGTAGGCCCCTAACTCATTGTGAGCTACCATTAAGTAGGCCCCTAACTCATGGTGACCCCATGCACAGCTGAACAAAACACAGCCTGGTCTTGTGCCCTTTCCATGATCAGTTATAGATTAGACCATTGTGATCCATAGGATTTTCACTGGCTCGTTTTCAGAATTAGATTGCCAAACC